TTAATTTCTCAACTTCATTGGATTTTTAATTAAAAACAATTTTTAAAAACCCCAAACAAAACAAAAAAAATCCTGAAACAAAACAAAAACTTGCATTACTTCTAGAAAAGAAAGTACTTTATTACCTAGTAATGAAAAGCAACATTCACCTCTTTTCTAGCTAATTTTTAACAAGATTTATAACAATAAAATCACAGTTCATGTGAAAACCTATTACTTCTGATTTAAACCTTCTTAGAGAGATTAGCAGTTAAATTATCTGCCATCAATTTTATTTAAGTTTTTAATAATAGCTGATGTGTATTCTATACTTGCAGACTGAACCAAAGATCTTGTTTATATCAACCATCATTTTAATCCCAGAGAAGACTTAGTTACATTTCTTCAGGCAGAATCCTGAATTAACTGATGCATGACCAAGTGTATTCATACAGAAGTAGATGCATTTGATATGCTATCAGGTAGATCCATTTGAAATGCTGTCAATAATATTAACTCAGCATACTGTTATTTCTACCTATAAACTCTAGTTTAAGTGGAAATAATTGTTTGACATAGGCTATTATTTGAAATGGAAGTAACAAAACTATTGAGAACCATTGCAGAATGGTCCAGAAAAACATACTGTCTCCAAGATCAATTTACCTATGAAAAATGTAAATTACAAATGCCGGTCAATTGACAGTTGCAGAACCTATGTTCAGCTCTCTTGAAAATGGAGCATGTCAACAATCTCATAAGATTAAACAAACAAACAAAAAGCCATTAATTCACTCAATTAACTCACTTTTTAAATTTAACTCATAGGCTCAAAAGTTTTAATATAAGAATCCAACATTTAAACATTATGAATCAATTAATATTTATAATAAGAGTGCTTGTATCCAACAGAAGTAGTTCAGAGATTGTTGGTTTTGTAAAAAAGAAGTAGGACTTAGTGGGGAACTCTTTTTTTTTTTTTTCTTTCTTTTGTGTTTGCAGTGGAGCATAAATAGCCAAACTGGTATTTCTTACAATAGACATATGAAGTTTTAATCAGAATATCAAGGAATTAAGTTGAAATCTGCACTTACAATAGTATTTACAGGCATTTCTTGAAGTTGTCTTATATACAGAAAACACAAAAGTGTCAAATTATTCCGGTCTCCGCATTAGGCAACTTAAATACTCCCATTCATATACCAATACAGTGATGTAAGAATGATGACATCTTTTTCTATCAGCTTTAGACAGATAAAAAGATTCTTCTAATTACGTTTTCTCCAAAGATGCTGAGTGTTTCCTAACATCTGGAGCAGCTTTAGAAGACTGAGATGTGGATTGAGAACTTTTAAAAATATTTTTTTAAACAGTATTTTTATATTTTCCAGGAATTTATACAAACCCTTTATTTGCTTTTCATTTTAATCTGTATAAAGAACAATCATGACCTTACATTTCCAAAGCCTCTGTTCTTTCCTTGTAGCTGTATTATGTGATCATCAACAACAAGCAGCCGTAACAAATCTCAAAGTGGAAGAACACATATGAAAGGACAGTAATGGCTAATCAAATGTCTCTCTTGAGGACCATTCAATATGCAAACTTTAGGTCTTTCTGTCTTCAGATTTTTGTTTCATATGGTAATATGTTTCTCTGACTCAAGGTTGTCAAGTAACTTCAGATACATTGTGGATCAAGAAAGAGACTTATGGGCTTTGTTAAATAAAATGTTCTATAACAATCTGCATTTCATTTACTCACTGTTCATTTAAAAGATATTAAGCTTTTTGTTCTTCTGTTATGATTATTAGTACTATGAAGATAAGCCTAATCCTGTGTTCCACATAATGTGGCATGTAAGTTTCTGAGGGCACAGTGCTCTTTAGGGTATTTTTCAGGGAGAATACATCCAGGTACCAAGAGAATTTTTAGACAACTGAAAGTTGCTTTCTGCCTACCATAAAGCTCATATGCTTGAGTATGAAATTTAATACTACACAAAACCCAAAAATCTTCATTAAATGTTAGACACACTTCTCTCTTAATGAAGTATGGCATAGCCATGAAATAGCAAGCCAATTGTAATATGGTTTCCAGGGGAATATGCTTATTAACTAAATTTCCTGATCAAGTGCATCCTGATTTAATAAACATGTATTGATTATTTTGGTGTAATAAGGAAAGATTGCTATGGAGTAGAAGAAAACTGAAGCAGATTATTGAAACTTAAGACAGCATGAGACAGTATATATTAAAAACTTAACATTATGAAACATAAATTGACCTGCTATTATGAAATGTTATTATGAAACACTACCACTGTTAGCACACTTTAATATTCTTATTTAGTAATACTAATTGCATAATAATTAACATCAGAAGACACATATATACGCAAAAATCTTTATAATATACAGCTGCTTGCTTTTAGTTTCTTGACAATCTGAAGTGTCTTCCGCTGATATTGTGGGTGCCAAGATTTTAAGGATATACTCTTAGGAAATGTATGAAAAATAATAGCTTAAATACCTGCCTAAGGATTGTGTTTTCCTCTACACACTAGGGAAAATAAATAATTTTGAAAATAAATTGGACTCTAACCATAGACTCAGTTTTCTTGTTGCTCAGCTTGCATTAAGAAATACAGTAAAAATTCCAGTGACAATTCTACTATTCTTGTACTGACTACTAACTCAATAATATTAAATATGAAAACATATAAAAATGCTGAATTCCATGCAATAACATTACAGTCACCAGTCACCAGCTACGATAGAAGATAATAGAATCTTGATATTTAAATTAATGAGGTTATACATGAGGATATTAGAAGTTAGATAATAATATATTTCAGTAAGTCAGAGCGATCTACAATTAAATGCACTTCCTGATAAAATGTAAGGGTCTCCTGTTTTAATTGAAAATAGAAGGCTTTGGGAGGTGGACATCTTCCTTTGAGAAAATAAGTCAATATCAGAGTTTAAGAATGTTTTCATGTGCAATTTTATTTCATATGCAATTAATTTACAAATATTTATAACAAGCTATTAACCATGTGTAGTGACCCCTTTAAAAAATACTCCCATCAAGAAACATAAATGTCTTTTCTGTTTTCTGGCATGTGTTTTTTTTTGTTCTGCCTGCCTCATACTATTTTGACAACCCAGCATCTTTAGCCTTCAGCCACAAAGCACTTACATCCCAGATGTAGGGATACATTGCTTTAAGCTGACCATAGTATTACTGCCCTTTTAGTGAACTTGTTTTTCCAAAAGAGGTTTTTTCGTTTTAAAATTATTATCTGAAATCTAGGTACAGGCAAGTGTTTCTGAGTAGCAAACCTTCAATATAATTACGTCTATTATATTAGCTCCCTCTTACTGAATTCCTGTGGTCAAAGCAATATGTCCTTGAAGCATATAGATCAGCAGAAACCAATTAGTTTAAAAGATACATACATGCTAGGGAGATGCCAGAATGAGAGATTGTGATTAATTAAAAAGAGCAGAAGGTTTAATATCAAATCTTTTCTGTAACATTTTTCTGAGGCTGAACTGATGTTAGCCAGTCTCAATATTTTTCTTGGTTTTTTCCAGTCACTTCTTATTCTGCTGCTTTGTTTCAAAGACGTTTTAATATTTTCTTGATGAAGTAATCACATGCATCTATAAAAATGAATATAATAGATATAAGAGATGTTGTTTTATTAAAAGATAATAGCAAATATATTTATGAAAAACAAATATTTGGAAGGACCTAATGCCTCATTTTCCATGCAAAATGTGATTAGTTCTTGTCTCACCAGACATAAGTTGGTATGACAATTTTCAAAAACCTAATCTTCCTATATGAAGTAAAGCATATGAGCCATTCAATATTGATTGGGAGGAAAAAATTCAGACCAGTTTATTCAGAGATTCTGAAGGATATTTAAAGTCTCAAAAAATATTTGTATATATATTTTCAGTCTCTTTGTATCTTCTCCTTTCGTACATATACTTTTACTTTCATGGTTGTGGGATCATTTGTGGTGGATGAATAATCTGTTTGCAAGCATTAATATAAAACTATTAACCTGGACCAAGTTTAGTGAGGTGTTCTGAAAGCATTATTCTCAATTATTGTAGCTGTCCTTGCATTCATGTTTTCGTGCATTTAACTTTCTTATAACTTAAGTGGTCAAAACGATACCACTGTGTTTAGTTCATGGATTTTGTGACCAAAATAAATATTTCCTGTTTGGTTTAGCCTTCTTATTTGTACATTTTTGATATAACATTTTTTTATGACAGAATTTACTTTCACATACTAAGAAGAAGAACAGATTATTATTAGGATTACTACTTACGATTGTAAGTTTATAATATATGCAGTGCTTATGCAAAATGCTAATTGCCATGGTTTCCTTTGTATCAGCTGTTGCATCTGCAAGCTTATAGAAGAGAATAGAATAGAATAAAATAAATTTCAGTTGGAAGAGACCTAAAACATCATCTAGTTCAACTGCCTAAACATTTCAAGGCTGACCAAAAAGTTAAACCATAAACACTGACAGACACAGAGCATCAACCACTTCTCTGGGGAGATTTTTTTTAGCATTTGACCACTCTGTAAAGAAATGCTTCCTAATTTGAAGCGTACGAACCTAGGAGCTTTGTATGAACCTAGAGGCCAGATTTCCTATGCTAATTTCTCCCCCTTTTAGTCTTATTCCTTCAGTCTCAAAGTAGTTTAATTACTTTGTGCTGAGGACTATTTTTTTTATTTTTTTTGTAATGTCCTTCTACTTTCTCTTTTCTTCTTTTCAAAATTTGGGGGTTTTGGTGGGTTTCTCCAATGTCTTCAGTAAGAGACCAATAAGATTGCAGTTTTAAGGGATGGTGAAAGAGAGATCTAAAAACTCTGTAAACTCATGTATTCTATAATGAAGTGATAATACTTATGTCTGTTTGTGATCTTCTCTCATTGCTTTTTTAGGAAATTCTAGCATTTTTTATTAATGATCATGTCATTCACAGATCTTGGCTGACCTAGAAAACCATGCACTTTTTAAGGATGATCTAGAATGCCAGAAGCTTATTCTGGAAGCCATGAAATATCATCTTTTGCCAGAGAGAAGAACTCTCATGCAAAGTCCAAGAACTAAACCTAGAAAATCTACAGTTGGGACTCTTTATGCTGTTGGAGGAATGGATAACAACAAAGGTACTAGAGGGTATTTTTTACTTTATAAAAGTTATATTTTTTATTTTCATTATTAGAAAGTAGTGAGCTTTATATTCCAAAACTGGGTGGTGGTGTCTAAGTCAAGAAATGCTGCCAAGACTTTGGGTCTGATGAAAATCTACTGATATTTAAGGAAAAATAAAATACTGTTAGAGGAAGGAAACTGAGTTTTGGGTTAACTCTTTGTTAAAATTATTATTTCCATAAAGAATTTTAATTAACAATTATTTTAAAACATTATTTGTCTTTGTGTTAACTTTCTAGAAATTATGTTTAATTTATAAGTTATGCATCTTTTATAATAAATGAAAAAAAGGCAGTTTAATAGCAGGTGTATTCCATCCTTAAGTAGTTGTTTAAAATATTATGGATTATTCATGTTTTTCTGATGCAGAATATCAATCGCCTTGCGAAAAAGCCTAAGCAGTTAGTTTAAACTGTATTACTACTTTTTCAGAAGCTAGAGAAAGGTAGTACTATGCCCATCTTACTCTGAAGAAAAGTATGAAATAGTAGAAATTTTATTGAAGTATTTTGGTGTTACTAGTTGGCAATAAGAATTATGATGATGTGCTTTATTTCTGGTAAAGAAGTATAATCTACTGTTATTTTGAATGGAATTAAATATTTTAACTAAAAACTAGCTGTGTTACAAGTTTATAAACCCGGAAAGGCTTTTGTTGCTGTTTTTACTTGAAATGCACTAACAAGTCCACAGTATCTTCCATTTTCATGTCAGTATTAGACTGAACAATATGCCTATTAGATCCAATAAAAAACAACCCATATAAAAAAAAGAAAAAACAACCACAATATTTGTTCTTCAGTATTTCACAACAATTTCTAGGTGCAGATATTGATAAATAACTAGTTAGTTTTACTAAATAACTGTGGCAATATCATCTGCAAAAGGGCACATAATATTTTCTCCATAAAGTTACAGCAATGAGAAAGTTGTATGACATCTGTGCTCATGTGAAAAAGAAATGTTGAAAGAATAGAAATATCTTCAGTAAAGAACCAATACGTGTATTTTCTTATTATAACTGTGGATTACTTTTCTCCTTTTAGCATTTATACATGGGTTTGTTGCTAAATATTAGGTATGAATTTGCATAGTAAATATCGCCTTCAGATCATAAAACACCTGAAATACAAATTTCCTCCTAGGACAAATGACAATGAGCATTTTAAGTATTCACGTAGTGAGAATTATTATAAACCCAATTTAGGTGCAGCTAAATTTGTTCTACCTTACTGTACAGATCTGTTCCTGGTTCACAAAGCAAATCCAATACATAAAGATTTATGAAGACTGCAGAGAGCTTAGCACTGCCTCAGTATCAACATGCAGCCAATTTTGCAGATTCAGGTCAGGTGGAAGTGGTTTATTTCTGTAGCAGCAGGAGAGAACCCAGCATGGCAGAAGTTCAGCCCTCAACAATATGAACTCCAACTGAAAAAAAAGAAGTACCAGGGCTTATATACATCCATAACAGATAAAAGCTGCTTTGAGATGGGAGCTGGTTTGGCAGAGCAGCACCTGTGTCAAAGTCTTTGTTACAGGCAAAGTAACCTGTGCTCCTGAAAACTCAAGATCTGTACATGTGTGGCCCTGATTTGTATCCACTCAGCTTATCCTTCTTGTGATGCTGCTGTGTCCTTGCCTAGCTCTTAGGACCATGCAATGCTACAAGCTTAGGGAAGTGTGGCTGGAAAGCTGTCTGGTAGAAAAGGACCTAAGGGTTCTAATTGACAAGTGGCTGAATATGAGCCAGCAGTGTGCTCAGGTGGCCAAGAAAGCCAATGGCATCCTGGCTTGTATTAGAAACAGTGTGACCAGCAGAAGTAGAGAGGTGATTGTCCTCCTGTACTCAGCACTGGTGAGACCACACCTGGAGTATTGCATCCAGTTTTGAGCACCTCAATTCAAGAGAGATATTGAGGTGCTGGAGCGAGTACAGAGGACGGCAACGAAGCTGGTGAAGGGCCTAGAGAATCAATCTTACGAAGAACACTCGAAGGAGCTGGGAATGTTTAGTTTGAGAAAGAGGAGGCTGAGGGGAGACCTCATCAGTCTCTACAACTACCTGAAAGGTAGAGAGGTTGTAGAGAGGTTGGTGCTGGTCTCTTCTTGCAGGTAATTAGTGACAGAACAAGAGGGAATGGCTTCAAGCTGCAACAGGGTAGGTTTAGACTGGACATTAGAAAAAAAAAAAATCACAGAAAGAGTGGTGAGGCGCTGGAATAGGCTGCCCAGGGAGGTGGTTGAGTCACCATCCCTGGATGTGTTTAAGAATGTGGTGTTAGTGGATATGGTTTAGTGGAGAACTTTGTAGAGTAGGGGTGATGGTTGGACTCGGTGATCCCAAGGGTCTTTTTCAACCTGAATGGTTCTATGATTCTAAGTTAGAGGGAGGTGATCCTTCTACTCAGCACTGGTGAGGCCAAACCTGAAGTCATATGTCCAGTTCCAGGCTTCCCAGTGCAATAGAGATAAGTTGCTTCTAGAGACTCCAGTGTAGGGACACAAATATTATGAAAATTCTTGAGTATCTCTCCTCTGTATAAAGGCTTAGAGGGCTGGAGCTGTTCTGCCCAGAGAAGAGAAGGCTTAGGGGCATCATATAAATACCTGAAGGGAGGGTACACAGCTGACAGATACAAGTTCTTCTCAGTGCTGTCCAGTGACAGGACCACAAGCAATGGACACAAACTGAAAGACAGGGGTTTCCCTCAGAATATCAAGAAACACATTTTTACTATGGGGGTGACTGAGCACTGGCACAGGTTGCCCAGCAGGGTTGTGGAGCCTCCATTTTTGGAGAAACTAAAAAACTGTCTAGGCAAGGTCCTGGACAACTGGCTGAGGGTGGCCCTGTTTAATCAGAAAAGTTGGACCAGATGACTTCCAGAGGTCCCGTCCAACCTCAGCTGTTCTGTGATCTCTTGATTCTGTAATATGATAGCACAATTGTAGAGTAAAGGCGGAGCTTGCTTAATTACTTCACCCGAGGAAAATTAAATACACTGGCTAATGACTGATGAGATAATTATATGTCACACTAAAATTACTTTATCACCAGTTCTTATAAGTATTAACATTATTATTTTCTTCTTTTCACTCCCACGAATTTCAATGTGTTCCAGAACATTCAGCCTCATAGGCTAATTTGCAGTTACAGTACTGTGATTTATATAGGGATTTCTGAATAGAAAAAAAATCCAGATTGTAACACCATCTGGTACTTTTTCAGCTTAATTTCTGGTATATTTTCAGTGTAGTTAACTTCTGAAATTGCTGATTCACTTATGATTTGAAATAAGGACTTGAAGCAATCTATTCCAAACCCTGCATGGCTTCATATATAAATGAAGAGCCAAAGTTATCACATGGAAGATGAATTTCATCATCCCACAAGTTCCTCACCTGGCCAGTCTGTTACTCAGTTATTCACACCTGTTGCTGCAACCAATGGGAACAAGTAGACAGCACAAGAGGGTGCTGCCTTCATGGAAATGTTCATTCTCCCAGGAATGTGCTTGTATCCCCTCTCATTACTTCCCTGCTTCTTAATTACTTTATTTTCTGGCACTTCCAGTGCAGATATTTTATCGCAGATATTTTATCACAGATTAAAGTACACAGAAAACAAAGGAAACCGTGTATGTGATCTACAGAAGACACATGGCAGCTTGATAATTTAGTGAACCTCTATACTGTCAGAAACCCTAACTTTTTCCCTA